ACAATCAACAGTGACCCTGAATATTGGCAGTAGTCCTAGATATATTGTACATAGAGATCAACTGTAGTATCTTAAACAGAAAAAAAAAAAAAGGCCTATGATTCAATTTGTAAAATAATAAAAGAAACTCCTCGCCTTGAAGAATTAATCATCCCACTTTGCCTTAATATTTTTAGTTTCCATTTAAAAGTGTGTATGGTGAAGGTTTGAGTTGAGAAAAAGAAATGTTTGTCTTTTTATTGATACCCCAGCCTTACCTTTCATTGAGTCCATATGTCCTAGGTATCATCTTGCATTTGTAACTAACTTCATATGAGAAGAATGGGCCCACCTGCCTCAAATTACAATTTATTTATGCCTCTGAGCACCTAGATCGAGTATAGATTTTTCTCCAACTTACAGGGTTGTGGGATCACTCTGTTGTTTGCACATCAACCATTTAGAAACAGCACATGTTTTTGCATGGAATTTAGGTCTCCAGCCCACACAAAGCCACCAATAACAAACTTCTAAAATAATGGTAATAACAGAAGACACCTGGCCTTGACACATTATAATAAAATTTCTGTGTAAGAGTGAATTTCTGAGGTCAGCGGGCACAGTGGCTCACACCTGTAATCCCAGCACTTTGCGAGGCTGAGGTGGGTAGATAGCTTATCCCCAGCCTGGCAACAAAGCCAGGCTTAAACAAAGTGAACTTCCAACTTGAGCACTTCCTCTTCCTGCACTATCTCTAATTATAGTGGGATAGACAACCTTCTGTCCAGCTTCGTTTACCTGCTTTGCAGTGTAAGATCTGACTTGCTCAGTTCTACAGTTTTGGTGTCCCATGGCTGGAGACAAAGCAAAAAGAAGGTGAGGACCAGAATGGGGGCTGTTGGGGTGCTGAGAGCTAATGTGAGGGCTGGGAGTGAAGAGTTGTTAACTAGGAATTTCTAACAAAGCTATAAACATCCTTTAAAAAACTCTTGTGCACTTTTCTATTTCTTCAGTGGTCTTAGGAATGGCCTCTCCTTTTTATACTGTTTTGTCTGTTGCTTCTCATGAAAGATTCCTCACCTGAAACCACAGAGGAGATAAATACCATCGTAGTTTTTCTCTTATCATTTTGTCCCTAAAGCAAGCCCACAGCTATTCTGAGTTTTCTCAGAAGGATAGAAATGGTTTTGCCTGCCTTGGCCCGTCCAATATTATTTACCTAAGTCTCCAAAGAAGTTCAAAGACCAAACACTAAAAGAAAAACTCAGGCAATGCTTGGATCTGGTATAGATCAAGGAGTACTAAGACATTCAAATAGATATGCAGTCCTTGTTTTTGGCAGCATGCAGTTCATTAGCGACCTTGACAAGAACTGTTTGAGAAGAGTAAAGGGTCAAAAGCATGATTGGAGTGGGTTCAAGAGAAAAATAGGGAGAGAGAAATTGAGAGAGTAAGTATGGGCAATTCTTTCAAGGTATTTTGCTATAAAGGGAGCCAAGAATTTAGATAGCTGGAGCAGGATGTGGAGACAAACAGAGATCCCCCCCACCTCCTAAATTTATGATTATTAGAGCTTCTCTGCTGTGGGGAATGAGCACCTGGAGAAAGAAACCTTTACAATGCAGCAGAGAGAGGGCAAAGCAGCCAGAGGGATGTCCTTGAATAGACAAGCAAAAATCACATCCATCACTCACCTTGAGGGCTGTCCTCAGAGGGGAGCTTGGAAGGTTGATTCATCCTAATAGGAGGGGCAGATGTATGTGTGTACAGTAGGCAGATAATAGGTGTTGGGGAACAGGTGAGACATGTGCAGGGGCTCCTTCTGATCACCTCTATGAATGAGTTAAATGAGAAAGAGGGAGGACATGTTGGAAGTTTGGAAGAGTGGGGAAGGTGTGAAATAGTTGTCCAGGAGAATGGAAGAGTGAATGGACTAGGGAATTGTAGTGGGTTAAAGGTCGTGCTTTCGAAGTTCATAGGCATGAATCTAAGTGAGACCAGGAAAGAAATGGAGGATGTGTGTGACCTTGGATATACTGTGTTAAGGTAGGGTGTACTATCTGCTTTACAAAACTGTTGCGAGAATTCAGTGTGTCAGAAGGCATTTTGAAGTATAAGTACAGGACACCATTATTATGACGTAGCTTTGAATTACTTAGCACTTTCCTTTGGCAAAAAGGTTTTCAGATTTCTTGAAGACAGCCTCAGTATCTCTAGAGACAGCATTTGGCATCAACCACTGATTTACTCATTAACTAAGTCTAAGCAAATGACTTAACCTTCTTTCGCTTTTACCCCTCAATCTATATGCTGAGGGTGGTAATGTTTGAAGTGCAACAAATGCTTTATACATAAAAGTACTATATAAATACAGGCGATTCATAACATGGTATGTGTGTATGAGTTTTGTGTGTATGTGTGTTTGTGCGTGTGTGCGTGTGTATATATATATAAAATTGTAACAATTTGCCTACCAAGTCAGTATTTCTCTGAAGGAAAACCACTGACTTTAAAAATTCTGATTAGAAACTTTCCTTCTTGCTTTCATTCAAGAAAGAAATTAACGGCATTACTATTCAAACTAATGCTTATCTTGTGTCATAGATTGTGGAAATAATTTCTTTACCCAACACGTATTTATTGAGCACCTACTGTGCACCAGGGACATTGTAGGCACTAAAGCTATAGCAATATTTAAAACAATGTCCCTACTTTCTTGGAGTTCATACATGCGCACGCACATACACACATACACATTTCATATTCCAGACCCATATTTTGGCTAATTTAATTTCTTCTTTGCCATTTGACATTTAACTAGAGTTGTCCAATAGCAGAATAAACTGGTTTGTTGGAGATACCATCATGATGGAGTGGTTTGCAAGAAATCAAATAAGCAAAGATAGGAACATTTTGGGGAAGGAGCAGTAAGCTGGCCAACATTCTACATTTAGCTACAAATGCAGTTTTCAAGCATTCTTTGGGACAGAAGTGTGGGTGCTAGAAAAGGATGTGGTCATAGGAACTGCAGGAATACCACATCTACTGTGCTCTTTCCAGCAAACACAGTATGTACATTATAAGCTACAGAGCATACACTCCTTTAAGAGAAAATCACTGCTCTATTAGATTTTGATTTTTGAGTAACAATTGCCCACCTGATATAGAAGGTGAAAGAAAAAGTGTATTTATTTTCTTCCAGCAGCTAAAAGGTGATCATACTTCTAAAATTTGTTGAGATTGTCCAAGAAAGTGTGTAAAATCCTCATCCATCACTGGAAGCCCCTGGTCAGGAAATGACAGTGCAGTAAATATCTTCAGCAGCCACCTTTTAATGTACAAGCTGTTTTCAGTTGGAATTTTCAGCACTCACATAAAACACACTGTCATGAGTGACTGCTTGTGCTCCAAAGTCATTACTATTGGGACAATGGAACATCTCTCAGAGAATAACCAAAAAACTTTAAATGTCATGTCAGGTTTGTTGAAGCCATTTTCAAGTCCCGTTCAAGGTTACATGAATATTGAGGTTGTCTGTTTTTTATAAGTCACCATTATCATCACTTACCAATAAAAGGATATATGTGTATATGTATATATGGACATGCATATATGTATAGATGTGTATATACTTGACAATTACATATAACATTCTGGTTTGCTGGGAAGTTTTATTTGTTTGCTTGCCAAGTTCATTATTTCTTTTTTTTTTTGAGACGGAGTTTCACTCTTGTTCTCTTGTTGCCCAGGCTGGAGTATAATGGCACGATCTTGGCTCACCACAACCTCCACCTCCCAGGTTCAAGTGATTCTCCTGCCTCAGCCTCTCGAGTAGCTGGTATTACAGGCATGCGCCACCACGCCCAGCTGATTTTGTATTTTTAGTAGAGATGGAGTTTCTCCATGTTGGTCAGGCTGGTCTCGAACTCCCGACCTAAAGGTGATCCACCTGCCTCGGCCTCCCAAAGTGATGGGACTACAGGTGTGAGCCACTGCGCCTAGCCAAGTTCATTATTTCTTTAAAGGAAAATGATTGACTTTTTAAATTTTTTTTAGACGGAGTCTCACTCTGTCGCCCAAGCTGGAGTGCAGTGGCGCGATCTCGGCTCACTGCGAGCTCCACCTCCCGGGTTCATGCCAGTCTCCTGTCTCAGCCTCCTGAATAGCTGGGACTATAGGCGCCTGCCACCATGCCCGGATAATTTTTTTTGTATTTTTAGTAGAGATGGGGTTTCACTGTGTTAGCCAGGATGGTCTCAATTTCCTGACCTTGTGATCCACCCATCTCGGCCTCCCAAAATGCTGGGATTACAGGTGTGAGCCACCACACCTGACCCTTAAATTCTTAATAGAAACTTTTCTTCTTGATTTCATTCAAAAAGGAAATTAATCTCATTATTATTCAAGCTAATGTTTATCTTGTGTCACAGAGTGTGGAAATTATTTATCCAACAAATATTTATTGAGGACCTAGTTTGCACCAGGTCCATTTTAGGGCCTAAAGTTACAGCAGTAGTTAAAATAATGTCCCTACTGTCTTGGAGCACACATTCTAGTAAGACAGACAATGGACAAGTAAGCAAATATATGATGTGTCCAGCCATCATCAGTCCTGTGAAGGAAAACATGACAGGGAAGGATAGAGCATTGCAAAGGGCAAATGCTATTTTGGATGGGTGGCTAGAGAAGGCCTCTCTTTTTAGGTAGTGTTTGAACAGAGACCTGAAAGAAATATGGGACCAGGCCCTGATAATAACCACGTGACAGGCATGTCAAGCATAAAGGAAGAAGGAAATGGACATTAGTGCTAATGAAATGGTTGGCTGTTGTATTTTAGTTTATTCTTAAAACCCTGTGTGATTACTTTAAACCTGTCTTACTCTGTTAAATGTTTCTTTGTTCAGTCTATGTAAGAAGACTACTTATTTATTGAGAATAATTACTTTAAATGTGTTTTATAATGTGCACAGTCCTTGGTTTTCATGGTGATAAGTTTTATGTTTCTTTTTTCCTTACTGTAGAAAATCAGAAAGTGCAGTTGACAGAAGGGTCACGTTCACACTACAATATCAATTGCAACTCAACAAGGACTCCAGTCGCCAAGGAGCTTAATTATAATCTAGACACTCATACGTCTACCGGGAGGATCAAGGCAGTTGAGAAGAAGGAAGCCTGTAATGTAGAAAGCAACAGAAAAAAGGAAACAGAACTTCTTGGCTCTTTTTCTAAAAATGAATCAGTTCCCGAAGTTGAAGCCCTGCTGGCAAGATTACGAGCTTTATAAGTTAAACTGGTTTAAAAAAAAATGATTAAGCCAAATATAAAGCCATGCTCTAAACTATAACACTTGAAAAAATTGCTTTTATGTAAGTGACTTTATATAGTTTTAAATTATGACATATATTAGAAAAATAAAGCTAAATATATGATTGCAATGCTTTTTCTGTGTACTGGAGGTTTTGGTTTATTCAAGATTGTAATGGGCTTTAATGCTTTTTTTTTTTTTTTGTCTCCTGGTATTCCTCTGTTCTATATTTGGTGGTTAAATTATACATATTGCTTTAGAGAGCAGGTAGGTGGCCATGTGTTCAGCAGTGTGTCCTTAAGAAAATACCATCTTTCTAAGCCACTGGAATTTTTACTTTACTATTTTTAATCCATTAACGGATGTCAAGTCATCAACCTCAAGTCTTTACATATCCATGTATATTCCATATATATTGTTTATATAGGCCCAGGTTTCTCCCTAATTGGGATCTATATACTACCAGCACAAGATCAAAAACATGTAATTGAATACATTAGGGCTATATATGTAAGGAAATGACTGGTGACCTCATTATCATCATTGTTGAATTTGTGTTAAGTAGACCCTCTAGGGGACCATAAAGCAATACAGCACATAACGAAAAAAGATGCAGTAAGAACGTATGCACTCTCTTTGCCAAATGCATGTGCTTTTGTGTAACGTGGATATAAACAGTATTGCAGTGCTGCCGAAACTCTTGGTCTTAGCTAAGAGAGTATTTTTCCCTTGTAATTATGACTCTGAGATAAAATTGCCATTTTGAAATTTCCAAAGTAACAACATTTTTTTATTTTATGAATAAACTTGGAATTGCAATTTCTCTGATCTGACAATCAATAACTTTAACAAAGATCTAAATAAGTGTGTCAAGGAAAGTTATCCTATGCAAATGTAGTATTACCTCATTTGGGCATCATTGCTCTGTTAATTCTATATCAAAGAAAATAAACTTGCTACTTGCACTAAATGAAAAAAAATGCTTTCTTTTGTCTCTTTTTTTGAAAACATATTCTGTGGATAAGCTGGGAATAGCCTGTGCTATGCAGTCTGTCTAAGCATCTATTTTGCTTTATTACATGTAATAAGTAAGTGACTGTTCTTTTACCTTCAGTTAAAAAGCAGTTATATGGAACTAGTCAGGCAAGGTCTATTGCTTTTTATTTCCTTAAGTTGCCACCTCCTTTCAGCTCCAAGTTAATAAAGTTAATTAATTAGAACTATGAACCAGGCCCTGTTTATAGACATTGGAGAATAGAGCATTCTCTATAGCCAGTGTAGGAGTAAATGTGAAGCTGTATGTATTGCTGAAGTGTGCATTTTACCCTCCAGTTGCAATTCCTGTTTTTCTGAAAACAAACCTTAAAAATCAAGAAAGGTGAAGGACATTTACACATTTAAGCTGACAGCACCCCTAACAGCAAGGCAGGATTGTTTTGTTTAGGAAAGAATTTCAATGAAAGAACTCTGACTATCAGTTCTTAATGTGATTTTGCAGACTTGGGTTTTTCAGAAAGAAAACTTAAATTCAACTGGATCGTTTGGACACACCAGGAAGCAGGTAAACACTCTGGAAACTTAGGACCAGGGAGCAGCCACAGGGAAGAAGAAGCCTGGCAAGTAAAGGAAAGTAAAGATGACGGAGACTCCCGGGGCAGAGGAAGGCAGGGAAGTCCAGTAAAGGAACAGTCAAGCTCCAGAGCATCTGTCTGCAGGGGCTGAGGACAACTTTCAAGCAAGAGGGCCAGGAGCCCAAGGCTAGCAGAGTATCAGAAGCAGCTGGCCACCCGCAGGTCAGCAGCCAACACTCCCTCTTCCTTGATGACAGCAGCTGGCTCCAAAAGGGACCATAGCTGTGGAAAGGAAACCTCTAAACCACTGATAAAGGTGAATACCAACTCAAGGAACAGATCATTTGGAGTTACTTTACTTGGTAGATGCTCCTTCAGCAATGGGCTAGAGGTATGATTAGGGTTTTTAAATGCATAATATTTCCTTAGCCAAACCATAGCAATGACATTAAATTTGAGAGCAGCCATTAAGGTACAAGTTTATTTTTTTGAATAAGCAGTTTGTTCATTTGAATGAGCCAGTATGATTTTTTTTTTTTTTTTTTTTTGAGATGGAGTCTGTCGCCCAGGCTGGAGTGCAGTGGTGCAATCTCCGCTCACTGCAAGCTCCACCTCCTGGGTTCACACCATTCTCCTGCCTCAGCCTCCCGAGTAGCTGGGACTACAGGCGCCCGCCACCACGTCCGGCTAATTTTTTTGTATTTTTAGTAGAGACGGGGTTTCACCTTGTTAGCCAGAATGGTCTCAATCTCCTGACCTTGTGTTCTGCCCGCCTCAGCCTCCCAAAGTGCTGGGATTACAGACATGAGCCACCGTGCCCAGCCAATGATTAATTTTATGTGTCAACTTGACTGGGCCAAAGGATGCCCCAGACAAGCCGTACAACTTTATTTCTGGGGGTACCTGTAAGGGTGTTTCTAGAAGAGATGTGCATTTTCATCCATAGGCTGAATAAAGAAGATAGCCCTGCCACTGTAGGTGGGCATCATCCAGTCTCCTGAGGGCCAGAATAGAACAGAAAGTGGAGGAAGGGCAAATTTGCACACTCTACTTGAGTTAGGATATCATCTCCTGCCCTTGCTCATCGGCCTTCCTGGTTCTTGGACCTTTGAACTCAGACTAGGATTTACATCACGGGCTTTTCTGCTTCTCAGGCCTTTGAGCTTGGACTGGCATTACATCTTCAGCTGGCGGGTGGCAGATGGTGGGACTTCTCAGCTTCCAAAATCACCTGGTCCAATCCCTCATAATAAACCGTGTGCTCTCCTTCTTCTCTCTCTTTCTTTTGACTGTCTCTCTTTCTCTAAGTTGTGTGTGTGTGTGTGTGTGTGTGTGTGTGTGTCTTGACAAGGATGTTCCATCCAGGCCAATGACAAACCCCATGATATGGTTTGGCTGTGTCCCCACCCAAATCTCATCTTGAACTGTAGCTCCCATAATTCCCATGTGTCATGGGAGGGACCTGGTGGGAGGTCTTTCCCATGCTGTTCTCGTGATAGTGAATAAGTCTCATGAGATCTGATGGTTTATAAAGGGGAGTTCCCCTGCACAAGCTCTCTCTTGCCTGTCGCCATGTAAGACATCCCTTGCTCTTCTGCCATGATTGTGAGGCCATGTGGAACTGTGAGTCCATTAAACCTCTTTCCTTTATAAATTACCCAGTTTTGGTTATATTTTTATTAACAGAGTGAGAACAGAGTAATAAACCCCTGATCCCAGAAAGATCATTGTGCCCTTTCTCATGTTAGTGTAGAGAATTTGGCTAGAACACAGACAACTGGGTGGTCATTGTGTTGTTCTAGATCAATGACCCACTGCTAACAAGTTTTCCCCAACAAATATTTAAAGTAACTTAAAAATAATGGAAGTAATCTCATTACATGAGCTTATATCTCCTTTATTGTTAACATATTTGCATATTTAAGCAAAATATATCAAAGACACCTAGTTTTTATATGTGGAAGTGGGTATTTCAATAATTCATATCAAAATTTTCTGGTAAATCTAAAAAACACAATTTACAACAAGTTGCTCCAAAAGTCTTTTAATTGTTAACATACTATTTATTCAAAAACAAGAACTATTAATGACATTAAAATACTAGTTTACCCATAAGTGATCATTTCCTGGGTGATTCATTTTTATTTTAAAATATGATAATCTGAAATAGATCTGCATTTAGCTAGAAACTAAATTATTTAGGCTATAACATACATTTGTGCTAGATTTCCTCTGATTAATTAAGCTTTCTTTGATATGTAAACACATGTAGACTGGAAATATTTTTGGTGATAAGCTGTGTGGCAAACTTGTAGGGACTGTGTGACTTTTGGAAAGTAATAGGTCCTAATATGTAAACTGCTAGTTTGATTGAAAACCAAAAAAGTGACATGTACTTTCTTTGCCTTTCATATAAATTATTTAAAATGTTGAAATGTAAGAATTGTAGCTGGCAGTGACCTGGTAATCATTTTTGTCTGGTGAATTCTTAAATGGTAACCAGGCATGAGTGTTCTTAAAATATGTCCTAGGGCCCCACTGTTCAATCGTTTTGCCGAAGAGCTGCTGTTTAGCAAAATACATGGAGTTCCCAAAGACCCACAGAGACCGGATAGTATTTCAGAACTGAATCCAGATCTTCCATAAAATGAAAATAATGGAACCTTGATCCATGAAAGTTCATTATTCCTAAGCAGACCTTTGCCTTTTAAAGTGGATCTAAGAAGAAGGTTAAAGCTAGAATGGGGGATAGGGCTGGAAGTAGAACAAAATGTCCTCTAATTAGGATTCAACTATAGAGGCCTCTTTGTCTCCTATTCGGCTAGTTATATTTGAGTGTCTTATTTTACTTCAACAATAGGCTCCCTTTAGGCATCTCCAAGAAGGAAGAATTTAAAAGGAACCTTGGTTTCTTTCAGAAAACCTCTAAAATGATAGATGTTATTCTTCTATCCATTTTGAAACCCCAACCATTGGACAAAAAGTGTTTTAAAAGCTCCAGATATCGCCTTCTTGCAATTGATATTATCAACATTCACCATGTGCCTATGGATCTACATTATTATAGATTTCTTATTTGAAATCTAATTGTTGAAAAGGCATTCTAATGACAGAATTGGAAACCAAATATCTGGATTATCTCTTCAGGACAAATTACTCATTTTCATTTACAACAGCTTTTTAAAGTATTTTAGTAAGTTTCTGTTGTGTTACTTAACTACTTTTTAACAGTATTTAAAGATTAAGACTTTCCATTTTTATCTTGACATTTTTATCTCATGTTATATTTGGACTATAACCTCATTAGCAAAAATTTATTTTTTCTCCTTATTTTCTAACTCAGGGTTACTAGCATTTATTTTAAAGATGAATGTCCAATCAGAATCTATCTAATCTTAATATTTTATGTATAATCTGAGTTTGTGTGATTGATGGTCAAACATAAGGCCTATTATAGGAAGCTATAATAAAATAATTAGATTAAACAGATTAAAACAAATGTTCTGGTTTCTTGAGAGTGGGACTTAGTCTTCAGGTATGTATATTCCAGTGGAGTTCTACCTAAAGTATCTGCTTTCTCACAGACATGACTGGTTCTGGTGGAGAATATTCATGTATGCATCAAAAAAATAGAAGATTGACTATAAATATTTAATGTGTATCTAATTTAATACACTTAATAGCCGTAAAGGCAAATATAGTTAGGTGCAGATATTAGTATATAGAAATGTCTATTTACATATTTGGTAATTGTTTCCTTTCAAGGCTTAATCTGTGTGAAGTATTCTCTATTAAAAGCCTACAAAATTAGGCAACAAAAGCTTAGACTTCATAACTAAAGTACCCAATTCATCAGGGATGAAATCAAAATCAATTTTCATTTTAAAATGGGATATTTCTTTCCTTCCCTTATTTCAGGCACAAACACATGGCTCTTTTAATGCAAAACCAACTAGGTGCCTAATAAAAGCAAACAGGTGCCTCTCCAGCCTGAAGAAAATGACATTTTCTCTGGAGGGCCTCATCTTGAAACCTTTCCTTTCCTTAATGACCTAATGAGAGCCATTCTGATGAGTGTAAGAGCCATGACTGACATTCCACACCTGTGGCCTACCCAGGCATAAGAGTCCAATTTGACTGTGATCATAAATAAAATCTTGTAGTACTGTTATAGGATGTTTGGCAAGGACAAGAATTAAGGCACCTTTACAACTCCCCAAGGAATCTGGTGATATTTCTAACATGATCTCACACATCATTCTGTCCAGCCTGACCTTCCTTGTGTCACCTTCCTGAGTTATAGCTTGTATCCGTTACCCTCTCCTCCTTCCACAGCCTCTCCCCAAAATAAAGAATTGCTGACCGGAAGAAAACAAACCTGTTTTTTTGTTTGTTTGTTTGTTTTTTTA